CAGGAGTCTGGGTAAAGACTGTTGAGGCAACTTAACCCATCCAGTTATTCTATAGTCTCACTGAGCGTTTATTTCCAGGGCAAGCAGGGTAGTACATGCTGAGAAGGAGCGATGGAGCACAACTGGGTGTAAATAATACGTTAGACCTGATCTGGACCCATTTCTGCTGGCAAAACAGACTCTTTGTTCAGGAAGTTAGTCCAGTTGGGACTTCCAACGAATGGAAGTATTATATAGTGCAACCTTGTAAACTACTTAGGGATTTTGAAAATAAACAAATACAAGCAAAGATATTGTTGCTGTTCCTCAGCGCCTGGTAATTTCCCATGAGCATGGAGGGCCAAAGAAAGCTCTCTTTTCTCGTGGTTACATACCCCACCATTTCAGGGGTGTCACTCACTGGACTGCATTATAAAAAGCATTTAATGAATCTCCCTTTGGGTTTGCATTCCTGAAGAAAGACACAGCAGCCCAGATTGCAGCTCACAGCAACCCAACTGCTTCTGGAGCCCTTGCTCATCCTACTGGGCAACCTCTTCAAGTCTCCCTGAAATGCATGCAAGTGCTTGATCCCCTTGGGAATCCTTGAAAAACCCAGCCCGGGCATCCACCACCACGTGTCCCTCTCATAAGAACTGGGGATGGACAGGAGCAAGGTGAGGAGGCTTCCGTAAAAAATAGTCTGCAAACCCATATACTTAATGGAGGGGGAAAAATAAGGGTTTTTTTTTAATCAACTGTTGTAAGTATTAGAGTAGGGAATAAAATTTTTCCATTAAATTCTATATGGTGAGAAGGTTATCACTTTCTATCAAATTCTTGTGGATTTTCCTGTGAGAGCAACTGTGTCTGACTGATAGCGTGTGGCTATCAGACACAAGGAAAATTATCTAATTTATAGCCAGTATTGAGAAAGCTACCAGCAACAGAATAAAATAGTTCTCCATATGGTACCGTAAAGCTTCCAAAAACTATAGTTAAAGAAAACAACAATGCTCATAGACAAATTCTCCTTTTATGAATCAAGTAAGGGGTTACAGCAGCAGGGCTGGTAAAGACGCACAAGAAGGAACGATGTCTTTGATTGTCTTATATGAATTTACAGCTTTTATGCACAGGATTACAAGTATTAGATGCATCTTTGTGCTAACAGGGCTCATGTTTTGAAGTACAAGAAAACTCTACAGTTACATTCTGTGGAGGCTTCCACAGTTTGCCAAATGGAAAAACATTTGGAGGTTTGGAAAAATCTTGCACATAAATTACTAAAGGCACGAAGCGCCTGAAAGATGGATGAAATCAGAAGCCAAGGAAAAGCAGTGTGTGTGCCAAGGAACAAAAAAAAACATGTAATGATTTCTTTTAATGACTCTCCTGCAAAATGGAGAGCAAGCTTCCAGGGCATGTCATATTCTCATAAAAGCGGCTTGCCTTGGTGATGAGAAATACCCTGTAAGTGGTCAGACTGAGACCCAATTTTTCATCCTTTCTGCACATAGCTCTCCATTGATTATGTTAAGTGCTACCTACTGGTTAAAAACACAGCAAGCACATTGTCTCTGCCTGTGGCAAAGGGCAGCTACGCACTTGCTAATTTCCTGATTTATGACACCCTATAGATGGAATTGAAAGTAGGAACATGGAGGGGGGGGGACGGGACACACACTATTGAAGCAGAGGGAGATCAGGAAGTTTGTGATAAAGAAAAGGCAGGCTCTGGACTGACATGTAATCTCTCTTTTGGCTTGAAGTAAACCTGCTCCTTCAAGGCTATGCCATCAACAGGGCCTGGCTCAAGTTTCACCACTAAATCTGAGTCAACAATCTCTAATCTGGACACCAGGCTCAGGATCCAGGCTCAAGTTGCATTTGGAAGCAGACAACAGGGACACAGGGAGGTGGGGACCGGGGGGAGCGGGGAGAGGAGGAAAAAGACAATCTTTGTTTCTCATTTGATTGTCCGCACAAGACTGAACTGAGGTCATGTGCCTTTTTTTTGTCTTTTATTTTTTTTTTGTCATTTCTGAGATAAAACTTCGCACCTCTGTGGCCTTGAAATTGCCTTCCTGACACTTATATTAAGTACAGAAGATAAATGCCCGAGAATGGGGGACATAAGTTTGTGGAGCAGCTCAGATTTGGAGTTCTTTTCATCTTTCTGACATGTGATACCGTGACATAAGCTGCCTGCAGTAGGGTTGCTATGCAGATATACAGTTTCTGAAAAGTTACACCAGGAAAACTAAAACCTACCGATGGATTTAGCATTTCACAAAGAAGTGGGATAAAATGTGTGGCAGTTAGACTCAAAAGCTAAAAAAGGTGAATTAAACTTTCATGAAAACAATCTCCCTAAGAAAAAAAAAAGAAAGGATCAATAAGTATAAAAGTATCTCGTTGCATTCCTAGCCTTTGGGCTGCTGGCTTAATCCTGCTACTGTATATAATAAAGGAGACCCTGTGTGTTTAATGGCAGGGACAGAAAGAAGGGGGAAGTACTTGGGTACTGCTCCCCCTAATTTCACCCTCTTCCCCCCTCTTTGTTGCTGCCTCGCCATGATTTTATTTTGAAAAATAAAGGCTAGAATAAAAAATATGTTGTCTGAGGCTTCCAGCCAAAAATATGCCAGCACTTTCCCTTCCCACCCCACCCCCCCAAACTCCTTAGGCCAAAAGCCTTAACAAAAGCTGTTTTCTGTTTGGAAGATCTCCGGGTCCTTCACTCTCTTTCCTAACCCCTAACGCAGGAAATGATTTTATAATTCACATTATTAAGGAATTCAACTCACGCTCAGTCATTCCCCCCCCCCCCCCTTCCCTGCATGTCGACTTGACAATAAGCCTGTGGGCTGGCACCCATCCCCTCTGACCCGTTTGTGTCAGCTCCTCTACCTGACCCTGCCTGTAAATCATCTCAACAGACCTCTCTGGCAGGCAGGGAGCAGCCAGCTTTCCCCAGCATCCAGCCGTGCTCCAGTGCCTGGGCTCCTACTTAGACTTATGCTGAGAAAAGTACCTATACCCAAATAGCGGGCTGCTCCTCAGTTGTGTCCCCCCACTCCAAACTTTACATTTCACATAATGCCCGTCATGCCAAAGACCACACTAGCAATTGGGAGGCAATAAATCAATCTCCCTTGGCAAGAACTGAAAACCACATCTCCTGAGGTACTCCAGAAGGAGAGGGTAGGTAATATGAACAGCCAGCACTACACAGCAAATGTGGGCAGGCCTGCTGGTGCAATCCCACCAGCCTGGCACACTTCCCTGCTCTAAAGCCAACCCGGTCATGCCATCAGTGCTGCGGCCCCAGCGACCTCTTTGGCCACCCATCCTCCCTGCCTTGCTCAGCTGGGGACCCTGGCAGCATGGAGCACGGCAGGGCTGCAACATGCTACGGTGAACACTGAGAGCTGGCTGAGGGAAGGCTCCCTTTGCTTCAGAGGTGGGCTCTGTAATGGGTCAGTGTTTATTGCAGCAACTCTGAAGCCATGTTGGAAGCAGGTGTCTTTGTTCCAGGATGGTCTCAAGAGGTAACGCTAGGGCTGTGCTCCTCTTCTCAGCCCTGTGGATATTGTATTAATGTCTCTTCCATGAGGAGTGAAGAGCACCTCTCCTGCCTTTGTTGGCATAGCTCATGTGCCAGGGACACTGGAAGGGATGAGAGCTTCTCTCAACAACTTGTTTTGTGTAAGCCTATGTGGGCTTGATTCTTTCAGCTGAAGAAGGGGAATGAAGCTGAGTCTCCTGTCCTGGCCCCTCAGCAAGCCTCCTAACCGTGATGCTTTTCTGGAAAAGAAGGCAGTATTACTTCTTCCTCAAGCCTTTTTCTTTTACTGAAGATGTCTAGCAAGGTCTTTCAAAGAAAAAGTAGGCCTGATGAGAGATGGGAATCACACCTCTGTCCTCAGCTACCCTATTGGCTAATAATAACAAATATAATTTCTAAGGAAAGGTCCTAGTCAGTGCACCTGCCTGTCCTGGCCTTATATGTCCTTGGAAGACCGCTTCAATAGAGTAGTGGGTGGAGTGTCTGGGACCTTCACCTGCTCCAGTGATGCTTTAGAGAACAGGGAACACCTTTGAGAGAAAGAGACTGTCAGAAGCCCAAGTTACTCTTTTTTTGCCTCATGGCTGGATCAGTTCTTCACAGGGTTATAGAAGTTCAAGTCCCAACAGGTCTTGACTAGCCAGCATGACAATTGGAGGAGCACCGCTGTGTCAGAGACCCCATCTCCCTCGGAGGTGCTGTAGCACCTGCAGCCAGCATCCATTGCACCTCTGAAGGGCCATGCTCCCACCATTGCTGGAAGAAAACATCCAGGAGCTGCTGTTCAGCTGTATTTTTTACAGTTCTGTGTGTTTTGCTGGTTCAGCCTACGCTTTGTGGAAAATATCGTGTTGCTTAAGGTAGCATTGCATTTCCTTGCCCAGTACCACATAAACGACAAATAAAATGTGTACAAGCTTATGTAAAGCTCCTCTACCCATTTCAAAATATCTGAGCAGTTATGCTCAATATGAAGCAGGTTCAACTCAGTTCCTGACTCCCTTTCTCTCCCTCTGCTGCATTCATGTGTGTGGATACTGCACACACATGCCTGAGTATCTCCTTCCCTAACCCAAAGATCACAACCATCAAGTCAGCTTTGGGTAAGAGTGGAAGGCAAAGCAACTTAAGGGGCCATTTTTTTTCTAAGTTATACTTCTGTAAATCCAGAGGAATTCCAGGGGAATCAATCTGTACCAGCACCAGCAGATTGGTTCTTACTTTGAGCACAGAATGTTGTTATTAAATGATTCCTTTACATATTCCAGGCCTATTTTTAAAACAAAGGCAATGAAGTTAGGGCATCCAGTTCTATATATGGACACTCCAAATGGCACTGAAATGCCTCATGCATGTGTTTGGCTGAGTGTTGATTCGGGTGTCCAAATATGGACCTCAGAATGGGATATCTCACTTGGATAAGCATCCTCACAAATTTGGCGCACAGCACTTACTTGAACAAAGCAAATTTATTTCTGTCATTTAGGACGGAAAAAGCATGAAATGTTTTCATGTTGAGGGACCTTCTTGTCCGCAGAATTGAGCCACTCAGATACGGACATGTGTTGTAGTTCTTAAAAAAATGAAGCCCTCAGAATCATCTAAAACAACACAGGAGGCAATTAATGCAGTGCTTGCAGCACGCAGACCCCCCCATCACAAGGGCAAAATTCCTGCTGACAGCGAGAATTCGGTGCCAACAGAAGGACCTGTGCAGCCTGATCTTATCAAACTCCCCCTCTGCCCTGGCAGTGTGAAGGGATGCATGCAGGGCTGGCTGCTTAGAGACCCAAGGCAAAGCTTACTCTCTGCGTTCATGAAGACAGCCTCTGCATCTGAGAACTGTACTTGTGCAAGAGCTGGAGTGATTGCCATTGCACGCAGGAACCTTCCTGTGTATCTCCCAATGCACCAGGCTTTTCTTTGTCTGGCTCCTTGATGGCTAGTTCTCCAGGAAAGAGCTTGGCTTGACTATTAGGTCTTAGTGCGTAATAAATAATGTCAGCAGCGAGCGAGCACTGTTCTGCAAGCCTTTGCTGGGTTCCCGTTAATTGCAAAGGACCTTCTTACATCCTTTGTGTAATCCCATTCATTTTGCTGGCATTGTACGAGGGATGGATTTGGCCTCAAAAATAAAGCAGGTTTCTTTTGCATAATGTATTGTACCATTTGGTCTGCATTTTGCTGAAGGTTTATGTGTACTTGGATATTTCTCCCCAGATATGCAGCTGGAGATATTTTTTAAATAGCAAACAATGAACTGATTCAACTGTCCAAAGCAGTTGTTCCAATTGTGAATTTTGGGGTATGTTGTTAAGAAAGTGTAAGGTGGGCAAATTTTCAAGAAAGCTTAGGTAAGTTTGTGAGCACTGGAAATGCGTGAAGCCACCTCCAGCCTGGATTGCTTTCTCTACCTCTGCTGTCCTGATGATTTTTGACAAGCTGATTCCATTTCTGGGAAAAGCAGTTCATGAGAGAGAAAGATTTCTCTAAAGAGTCTGTTGTTTTTCAGGAGAGTGAAAATGTGTGCTAACAATTCTGGACCATTGACAAAAGCAAAATCAATACACACGGCCTTCATTTTACAGCCAAGTTCAAATGAATAAATAGAGATGCAGCAAGCTGTTTACTAGGGAGACAAGCTCTGCTCTACATGCCCTTCCAAGCAGGCACACTTACACTGTTGATTGCCTTACATGGCTGGTTAATGGAAGCAGTCAAATAGTTACAGAGCTCACCGGACATTGCAAACCCCTCCATCAGCAGTGCTGGCCAAGGGCTGGGAAGCAAGAGCTATTGTGCAAGACAGCTCAGGTCTGCAAATCTGTTCCTGTTGCAGAGTTTTGGGGGCATTTGGGAGGATTTTGGTGCTCTGAAGAACCTAGGCTTGATTTCAGGGGGAGTTCATGCAGAGAAAACTTCCAGCCTTACAAAAGGCAGGCAGAACACGCTCCGTACACAGCCCCAAATGAAGCATGAGCTAACTCTGCTTGCACAGATCCCCACGAAATGAATGAAGCTGCAGCTAGTGCATCCGTCCAGGGCTCTTCTCTAAGGCAGGACATAACTCTGCTGTGAGCTGTGGGGTTCCCCCTTCCCCGTGCCTTAAACACTGCAGAACATAAGAAGTACGAAAATGGAAGGGACATAGGTACAGCCTTCAAGAACACTTACACATATTTTTCTGACACTTCAGGCTGAGTTTTGTTTGGTCTCTGACCAGGCAGGTAGAGGAATGAATAACCACATGCACAAAAAAGATTAAAAGAATAAGAATAAAACAACAGCACATTTAAGTGCATTTTTTTTTTCTTGGAGATTTATTTTGTTTTAATAAATCTGACACCAGTCAGGGAGAGAGAAAAGCGTTGCAAGCCCAAAAGGAAAGCAGAGCACACTGAGGGTGCTTCAGATTCTTGCTCTCTTGAAGATGTTTGAGCTCTCTCCCCAGGCTCAGGAGTTGTTGGGTTCCCCCTCCCCCCTCCCTTTTTTTCTTTTTTTTGTTGTTTTTTTGTTTGTTTGTTTTTTTAAAAAGCGAGCTTACTCGCCCGGTGTGTTTTCCAAGCTTTCACAGCTCTAATAAATAAGGAGCACCTGTAAAACAGTAGCTTGACTTAAGTGAATCTGTACAAAGGAAAATATAGAAATACAGTATATACATAGTGCTCATAGTGCACCATCACTACAAGGCTCTGGTTCAGCTGGCTCTGCTACCCTGCTCCCAACACTGCTGACACGGGCAGAGACACTGCTCCTGCACACTGCTCCCCACTTCCCCGCAGGAGCCTTATAGAAAAGGTGTACTCTGAACACTCGAGAGTGAACAATTGCTTTATTCGAGTTAGTAAACAGTTACACTGAATCACAAGGTGATCTGATTTTTTTTTTATTTTTTTGTTTGTTATTTTTTTGTGGGTTTTTTCTTTTGTGGTTTTTTTTTGTATGTTTTTTCTTTTCTTTTTCTTTCCTTTTTTTTTTTTTTTTTGTTTTTTTCTATTTGTCAGAATGGGATACTCCACAACTCTCTTACCAATTCAGTGCCAGTATAACATGCTCTAGTGTACTTTTGGACTCTTGGCTACAACTGTACAAGTGCACACAAGTAAATTCTACCCTGTTATCCTCCACCCACTGATTGAGGATCGAATTGCACATTTCTCTTAACCATGACAGGAGAAAGCAAACAGTGAAACAGAATCATGGGGGATCTTTCTCACTTTACCCTTGTTTTCATTGGTTTGTCCATACCATTCTAATTATCATGAAAGGGCTATGCATATGGAGAGATTGTCTCACTGCCTTCCTGGATCACTGAAAACCATCAGGGTTGAAATTTCATCCAAGTCTTTCGTGACGCCCAGCAAATATTCCCCTCAGATTATTTTACACCTTGAGGGAATTTTGGTCTTTAGTTCAACACTCTTGCTCTGTTCCCAAATGGGGCACTATTTAGGGGAATTTAAAGAGAAAGCTGAGAAGAATAAACATTTACTGAGTTCTCTTGGCATTCAGTCTCTGAAAAACCACAGTATAAACTATTCATGCTGCTTCTTACATCTGTCAAATCAAAAATTAAAAGCCATAAAAGTGTAACACTGAAAATATGGCATTAGAAAGGATAAAGGTGGCCTTTGTAAAAAATAACAAGGAAAGTATATTAGCCAATAAAATATTCTAACTCTTCATTTAAAAGTGCATCATGGGTAGGACAGAGATGACTCTGAAGCGTTGCTACTCCAGTATTACCCCTTTCCCCCATCAAAACTTGAATAGGTCCAAAACCATACAATGCAAATCACGATTCTTAGTGTAGCAGCAAAACCACAGCAGTTTTTCAAAGGAAAAAAAAAAAAAATAAAAAAAAAAAAAAATCTGTATCATTGTCCAGTCTCAAATATCTGAACTTTGAAGTCAGAGAGGGAAAAGTACCTATGTTGGTCCGTGTGGTTTTTGAAACCAGGGTGAAAATCCCCCCTAGCAAGAAACCAAGAGGCAAAAAGCGTTCCTTGGAGGAGAAGAGGGGTGGTCGCAGGAATGCTGAGCACACTGTGTGGGTCCATGATGTGCTGTCTTCTGGGTCAAAGGCACCCGTGGGACTGAGGCTTCCTCGGAGGGGCTTCATGACAGGAAGCTGCTTTCATTGCTGGACTTTTATCCAGAGGGGGTGGTGAGCGGACCAGCTGGTGTCATTCGGTGGAGTGACGTGGTTTGCTCTGCTCCCTTTCTCCATGCAAGGTACCCTGTCGGCGAGCGTTCCTGCAAAGCAGACAAGCAGAGGTGGTCAGGGTGAGTGGTGGGAGACTCACTGCAGGCAGGCTGGGCAGCACCTGAGCTCACATCGCACACAGCCTCACACTGAGACACCAGCCCACTGCTTCAGCCTCAGCTGCCCCTCGTACCACAGGGCAGTTGGAACATGCAGCCTCTGAGGCTGCTGAAGAGGGAGATGGAGGAATTCCTGTGATAAAAAGTTGGAAACCGATATAATAATAGTCCATTCTCTGGGTTTCATAGAGCGCCTTTCATCCTACAAGAGCACGGGTGAATGACGATACCTTGCAATTATACAGTACCCTTCACCCTTGATCTCAGTATGCTTTACAGAGATGGGATGTGCTGCTGTCTACATCGCACAGGCGGGAAAGAAGAGTCAGACACGGAGAAGCATTTGGACCAGGATCCCCCAGCACCTGGGATGGGGATAGGACCAGGAATGCCAGGGCTCCCCAGAGACACCTCACTGCATGGGACTAGTGTGGCAGGGCATCATAACCAATGGAGCATAGGACTGACACTGTCTAGCATGACAAACAGAATTCAAATAAAGGCATTTTAGAACCCAAAGAAGAACTAGGCATTACTCTCACTTAAATGAACTGCTACCAAGATCTGATGTCTTGAACACATACATTTCCATGGACAATGTGTGAGATGAGAACAAACCCCTCCAGATCCTGTTAGACTAGATCACAGAATTAGGCAAAGAATTTAACTTTCCAGTTGTTCTCTTTTTCTATCCTGGTCCTCATCTCCACGTCCATTTTCTCCTGTTATCCAAACGGATGTTCTGACTGCTGTTGTTTTCTTTCTTTTCTCCTTTTTTAGGACACAAAAGGGATGCATTCCACAGGACGTATTCAGACAACTCCCTTCTGAAGCCCACGGGTGTTCTGACTGAGTGAACAATACTAGGAGCAAGCACAGCTTTATTGATGTGAGCCCTTCAGGTGAGCTTTTGTCAGTGGTCACAACAAAGGCCAGGGTCACGAAAAACTTTGAATCATGTTTTTGAAAACACAGATCACCTTCTTATCAGTCTAATGCAGCTAACACCCCACTGGTTATAATCTCCTGAAGCCTTAGTTTATCGAGGGGCTACTGGGTGATACACCATGGGCTCATGTGCTTGCGTCCCTTGTCAGTTGGCCATGTAGACTGCCTAGAAGGGACTGTTCTCTTTCTAACACAGCGTGCTTTGGACTCTGCCTCCTTGGATGGGATCTGCTGTCCCTTACAGATTTTGACTGAAACTTTGAAGTACTTATGGTCTTCATTTTTGTTCTGGGTCACATTTTCCTTCTCAGTCTGGTCCATGATCTTCCCTTCACAGTGGCTCCTCTGCAATCTCCCTCATCACTGTGCTTGTATCCCCATGCCAAACCTCCGTCCTTCTCAAAGCAGAGATTGGAAGGTACATTGAATAGGTTGACCAGCATAAACTCCCAGAGCATGGGGACCACTGTATCTAGGTTAAGGAGCAGCATTTGGGTTTTCAGGCAATGTGCCCAGCAGGACTGAGCAGCTTTGTGTGTACACAGAGCTGTGGACAAGAACTGAGAACTGGGAGGTATCCACCTACTAAGTACTCCCCATTAAGTATACAACTGCTTTCTGTCACTTCTTGGCTTGAAATCCTGCTCTGAGATTAACTAAAAAGGCCAGCAGAGAAAATAAAACCTGTAATGTCTCTATGAAACCTCATTCTGTGCTTTAGGAATTTTGCCTCCTCCTCTCTTTCTATACATCAACGGCAACAGATTTCCATCCCTCACTAATCAGTTGCAAATGGCACGGCATAGCACCAGCTGATAAGTGATTTGGGAGGGAGGGTGTAAAGTTCACTAGCTCTCTGCCTGGAGCAGTCAGCTGGCTTTTTAAGTCCTGTCTATTATCCTTTACTGCAGATAGATTCAGTGTAACAGAGTATGCAGATTGGAGAGAAGGACCTTCCGCGGTGATTGGCTCGTATGGCAGTAATTGTGTTTGATGAATGCATCTTTGTAGCAATCAAGTGACAAAATAAAAGCCCATATCAGGCATAGCATGCAAAGTTCTATAAAGAAATGAGAACACACTGGTCATCACCACTTCACAGATAGATGTTATACACCTCGTGCCAACGCTAGCATGCATGACCAGAACAATAAAGTCAGCTATTTATATTTCCCCAAAAAAACAAATTAGGTTTTAGGAGAGCGACATATGCTCTTCACCCCAGGTGAACTTGTCCTCAACACACATCAAATGTTGCTGATCAGACACCAAAAATGCATCAGCCACGGAAGAATTTTCATGAGCATAAAGCCGTGGAGCTGAGCTTACATGAGTTGCACTGAGGTAAGCACACTGGGTGTTGCCCGCTTTCCAAAGCTAAGCAGAGCTGGGCTGATCCTGGGGTGGAAGATCACCTAGCAGTCAGAGGCAGGCTGCAGTTCCAACCCCAGGAGGCAGCATGGAAAAGATGACAGAAAGAGAACAAGTTAGGTATGTTCATTTCTGCCCTACTGTCCGTGTAGGGCAGGGAAAGAAGAATAACTCAACTGGATGATGACCCAGCTCAAGCAGGTAACTTTGAGGCTCACCTGTGCAGGCCCAATGGTGACACAGTGTTCCCCTGAACAGTAGGTGAGAACTGCACTGATGCCCTCTGTGGCTGTTAGTCATAACCTCAGCAATGGGCAGCTATGACACAGGCTGCACCAACGCAGAGCTTCCTCTTTGGTTTATGCCCTGACACATGAGGATTTAAGTGCTTGCTTATCAGGACAGACTGGCAGCTAGGGTAATGCCTCCCCAGGAAGTTCCTTCCTCCCTTTCTGCAGCTAGACAGCTCTTTCCAGGTGCCACTACAGGCCTACAGCTTGCTTGTATGGTTGCTCCCAGGTCTGTCCCATAAGTCACACTCCTGCAGGCACTGACAGCTGCCAGGAATAGCTGCTTTTACCCAGTGCCCTTCCCAGACATGTCCTACCTCCTCAGAGGGGGCATGTCATTGACATTGCTTTGGGCACATGCATGCACACAGACACACACAGTTTTTTCCATGGTTGCTTCCCCATTCTGTGCTCCATTGATCATTTCTGTCTCCAGATATGTATCTTACTGTCAGGAAAAGATGAGAGACTGGGTGGGGAAGGCTGAGGCAACTGTTGATGTGGGCTGGTATAGCAGAGTTTCCGTCATTTAGCACAGCACTTAATTCACCCAGACAATGAATGCTGATGTGCTAAAAGAGGCCTAGCTCACCAGGGATGTGCATGGCCCTAGAGTAAAGGCACTGCCATTATTTTCTCAGGGAAACTGCTCTGAAGATAAACCACAAGAGCGCAGCTAAAGTCAGCATGGGAGCAAGCTCAGCCCTGGAAACACTCTGGAATCATCTGTTACTTGTAATGGTTCTGTAATTTATTCATTTATTTTAGCAATTCTTCAAGCAGTTCAAGCTTACTCATTAAAACCTTCCCCTTTGAATAGTTGATGATGGGGATGCCACATTGCAAGAGGCCTTTAGCACGAATGGGAGAACAAGCAGGGTCCTTAAGCACGAACCCTTGATTTTGAAGGTGGTGTTTTCCTTCTGCTCTGGTCTTGTAAACTATAGATCCTTCTCAGCTTTGGGTCAGATATGCAACTCAGGCTCTCCTGCCTACTGAAATGTGAGCTGTAATCTGAGCAGACAGTGACTTTTAAGGAACGCACCAGGGAAGAGGCTTAGGATTTGCCCTCCTTTTATGCCTAGGCAGAAGAAGTGGTAGGGACAGTTTAATCACTTCTAACTTTGTGCCCGAATTGTTGCAGGGATGCACCAGAGGCCATGCTTGCAATTGTATCCAGTTGCCTTGTAGTCAGAGAAGGACCTTAAGGGAGAAACATGAACTGGAAGGCAGAAGGTCTGCTGTGTGCTGTTTCCTGCTTCCCTACATCTATTCTTGGAAAAGCCTTTGGGGAAATTTCACCACTTTACAACTGCGTTCGGCCCCTTGCTGGTACATTTAATATCGTCTCTCACTATGCTCATTCAATGTATGTTAAACTGAGACCTAAAACTAGCTAGTGAAGTTAGGAACAGGGATGCATGTCATCGTGACCTTGTTACGCAGTAAGAAAATGGTAGAAATGGCGTTCCAGGACCTTCTTCATGCTCCTGCACTGCTCAAGGGAAAATTACCTATTAGAAAGATGCAGCAAAGGAATCACCACTGTAAGTCACCAAGACATGGGTTCTGCACTCCTGGATTTACCAGGCAGCCAGCTCTTCACTGAAGAGAAATGAGACAGAAATGAAGCCCTCTCTAACTCTTTCAAAAGGATGACAGTCATTCAAACCCCAGCTATCTAACAGCAGACTCTGATCTTGACTCCTTTGTTCAAGCCCCAGGCTCCATGGTTGGGATAGAGCGTAAGGAAAAGGGAAAAGGAGTCTCGTCCCTCTGTAATACATTTCCATCAAAACAGTGCTATCTCCCAAAACAGGAGTACAGTCTTGGCCTGGGTAAGCATGCAGCTCTTCTTCATAGCCAGTGGAAACAGCATTCCCTAAATTCAGCAGAGAGCTGCCACATACCTGGGGAGAACAGCCTGGGCTGCTGTAAATCCCCCCCCCGTACCACAAAACAGCAATGCAACTTCACCATGCAACTTGTTCTGCACATACCGAGGAGACGCGGCACCTCCTCTCCCCTTCAGGTTTGGATTCTCCTGGGCCAAACAGTTGCCACCAGGAACCAAACAGGAACCCATGCTGCAGCTTTTCAAACTTCCATTTCCTCATGTTCCCATCACTGTCAAGCTTTCTGTGGAAGCAGCTCCCCACTGAAGTGCACTGCTTTGTCATTTTCCCTCCTTGTGGCACAGGCAGAGGAGAGGTAGGGTCTCAGGACTTTAACCCAGGGGAACTCATTCTCCTCCTCACACCCAGTGGTGCTCCAGAGCAGGCACTGCATCCGCTGCTCTGAAACATGTGCAGGAAGAGCCTC